CTGCCGCCACCGCCACGACTTCCCTTCCCGCCTTGCACCTCCCCGCGCCGCCACGACCCGCCCCTGCGTGAGCGCCGACGCCGCCGGCGGAGAGAGATGCAAATCCGCTTCGTAGACGAATAAGCCCTTTTGGTGTACAGTGGACTACGGAGTCTGCAATTGACATTGATTTACTGCATGTTACCGAACAACTAGAAGAGAGATCAAATGTGCACATCCCAAAGAAATGATTAAGCTTTGCAATTATGAATATGCTCATCACCCTAAATAAATCACACATTGTGTACATGTATTGAAATATAACCCATAAGTATGCACAATCAGTATGTTTCAATTAAAGAATTTTTTTAAAGTCTATTCTAACAAAGACAAAAATAAAATTGAAAAAATAAAAACAACCGCTTCCAAAGGAGGAGTGGCCCTGACTGGCCCGCTCTCCTAAGCTTCCTTCACGCACTCCTTTCCAGCGTCACGCAAAATGCTGGGAATTGTAGTTCGCTTCGACCCGAGACCTCCCCCGACCCATCGTGAGGGTGGAAAAGAGCGGGAAAGGACCTAGAGGTAGGGCGCTTGCATCCCCCTCGGCTGTTAATATACCAAAATATAATAACTGACTGTTCTCTCTCTCTTTTTTTTACAGCCAAATATTGGTCTGTATAATAGGTCACTGGAGTTAAAATGTTTTTTTGTGGTTCGTTCAGATATTGCCCTATGGAAATCATGGCCCATCTTGTATTTTTCAACAAACTCAAAAGATTGTGGACAGATGAAATTTATGGAAACGAATTTTAACTCAGAAGAGTCTTAAAAGCTTTTCCTAGCCCTATCAGGCTAGGATCTCCTCTAGCTGACAAATCTGTGGTCCCAGAATATCACCTTTATGATTTTGACCCGGACCTACAATGAGAAAGATCATACGACAAAGGAACTATGAGGCATCTCACCATACAAAGGAAAAGATAGAGTTGTAAGATTTTGAGGAAGGGTGGAGGTAGGTGAAATTTAAGTGAAGCAGTGTTTTGATAGGTCCAAAGTCAATTAGGGCTGTGTGAAACGGGTTCGACCTCACGTGTGGACTGCAAAGTTGACCCTGCGGCTTGTTAACTTGAAAACTACAACGTGAACATAGACACACAATGTGTACTGAGAAACCCCCTATGAGTAAATGTGCGCTATGTCTGGAACATGATACTGGTTCTCTAAGTCAAAGTGACTTAGCTTTACCAGTCAAGACAGGGATATCTCATTCTTAATGATAAATTTTCAAACAATAAAGTTTCTAATAGCTTATGATTTTAGAGAATAAAGTTTCTTAATGAGTAAGTAACAAAAAGGCAGTTACCTAAAGTCACCTTGACTCTTTACAAGTGCAGTACTTAGTGTCTCTGGTTAATTTTGTAGCTGGCTTTAACTATGTCTATTATTTGAGCATGATAAATGACCCAGTAGACAATGACTTTCTCAGTCTGAGGCCTGTTTTACTGGCCTAAATGAAAACACAGTATGTGATTACTTATGTTTGTAGCTAGTATTAGATTCTGTTATATTTCTTGCATTTCCACAAAGTGCGCTAAACCTAACAACTAAATTTGAGGAAAATTCTTGTAGAGGAAAGTTGAGAACAAGAGGGACCTGCCACAATAAACTCCCCAAAGGCTTATAGTAATTAACCATTTTTTAAATCCCTTCAACATCTAGAACAACCATGCATTTAAAAGATTTTCCTAATATGCTGGTGAGAGGTCAGTGGACATTTACTTTTATAGGTTGCAGGCATAGGAAGGTTGGAGTGACCAGGACTGAAGCCATATTGATACCTAAAACAACATGGGCTATAGCCAAATTTTAAAAAGACATAGGTGTTTTTTTTTTTTCCTTTTTGTCTTTTTTACTGACCGGCAATGGGATTGCAACCCTCGGTGTTGCGGCCGCACCGCACTCAGCCAGTGAGCGGACCGGTCTCTATACGGGATCCGAACCCTCGACGGGAGCGCCGCCGTGCTCCC